AGGGCCCAATTATGGGGCTCTAATGAATAGGAGAGGGCTCGAATTGGGGGTTCCCTACTAAAAGGAGCCTTAACTTGGTATTGAGTCGAACCCCCAAAGCCACCTCCTGGTGAGGCGGGGCTGCCAGACACCACTGACGACCGCCGTACCGGGGGCGAGAGGCCCCCTCGTTCAGGGTTGAATCAAGGAGATGAATACTACTGTATTGCCTTCGTAATATTGTCATTAATTGTGGCTTTACTATTAGTATTTGCATTATTAACACGATGATTGTTTATTCATGTCATTGGTGAAGCCCTGTGCATGGTTGAATGGTCTAAGGCTTGTAGGGTGTAGGATTATGGCAGACATCCTCCACATTTCCGTGGGGGCCCACAAATATCATTCGTCAGAAGCGGCAAGTCTGAGAAACATGTGCGCAAGGTGCGCGAGGTCCAGATGGAGTTTCGGGAAAATGCCAGAAGCAAGAACAAGAAACCCACAAGACAAATGCATTCTTCCCTCGAAGCCTGACCAGGAGTCAGAGCAGGGGCTGTAGAGCTTTTTCCTCTTCTTTCTACTTGTAAGCTTCGTACATTTTCCCATAGTGCAGATCATCTAGCTGTGGCAAGTTCCCAAGGTTACATTCGCTAATCTTCCAAGGCTTCCGGTTGTGCCATGTCGGGGAGTTCGGGGAGGTTTTGGAACCCTAAACCCTAAACCCTAAACCCTAAACCCTAAACTCTGGCTTCGTGTCTCAGGCCAATCAGGGCCTAGAACCTCCGGGATTCCATCAGAGGTTCTAAGGATTCTATGGGTGTCAGGTTTGGAGGCGTAAACCCCGAAACCCCAACCCGGGTGAGTGCTTGAGGGCTTCGAATTCTGAGCCCTAAACCCCTAAACCCTACCACCTTTTTATAAGGACTTCATAAGGAAATCAGGAGAAGGAACCCTAAAACGGTAGGTTCTTCAGGGCCCAGGTAAACCCTAAACTGGCTTCCTTCCTTGACATCCTCGGATTTGGGGATTCCGGCTGGCCGGCTTAAAGTTTCGGGATTCGTAGGGCTTAGTTTGAAGATTAGGGCTTAGGGTCCAGGGTTTAGGGTTTATAGGGTTTAGGGTCCAGGGTTTAGGGTTTAGGGTCAAACAGGGTTTAGGGTGTAGGGTCTAGGGTTTAGGGCCTTACCGGAACTTCCGAGGCACACAAGCAGGTCGAGCTTCACGACTTCAGAATTTCTGGGTTGCAGTGCCTCCCCGAAACCACCAAAAGCCCCTGAACCTTACACCTCAAATCCCTAAACCCTAAATCCTAAACCCTAAATCCCAAATCCCTGAACCCTAAATCCTAAACCCTAAACCCCAAATCCTAAGCCCTAAGCCCTAAATCCCAGAACCCCTATGTCCTTATGTCAACCTTAAGGGGTCCAAGGTCTCAGGATGCCTGCCCAGAGAACCCTAACATCCCTCTTTAGGGTCCTTTTTTATAAGGGCGCCGTGCTCTTTTGGGGGTTTAGGGTTTAGAGTTTAGGGTTTAGGGTTTATAAAAGGGGCCCGAATTTAGCATACCTCCTCAAGGACGAACGGTCCTCGCGCTCTGCGGGAAGCTTAGCAGGCTTGGAAGAATCCGGAAGATGATGGGGCTCTTGGGAAACCCACCATCGTTCTAGACCCTGCAAAAAACCCGACTAGACCCCAAATAATCCTAAACCCTAAACCCTAAACCCTAAAGCCTAAATTCCATAAACCGTGTAACCCGGCGCCTGGTGAAGTCTGCCGGGCCAAGCCGGTTCCGGAGACCCGGCGTGTGCCTGTGGTCCGCTTCGGGGCTCAGCGCCTTTAAAGGGAACCCTAAGGGAACCCTTGCAGCAACCACTAATAAGGGAACCCCTAAAGGAACCCTTAAAGGAGGCCTTAAGGGTAGTATAGGCTTCTATAATAGTCTCACCTTCGAGGGTAGTATAGCGTTCTATAATAGGGTACCCGCAAGACGCCGACATCAGGCGTGAGGGGAGGGCTTCTCCTTGAGATGAATGAGCACGCGCTGAGACAGACTGCAAGCTCAAACCCCGACCGACTCCTGTGAGTTTAGAGCTCCGCATCCTCAAAGGTGCATCAAAGCCATCACCAAACATCGTGCATCCTGAAACTTATGCGGCCACATAGTGACATAGTGCTGAAACATCAGTCCTACAAAATCGAACCCAAAGATTATGTAGAGTACTCCTCCAAGCCCTTGCTTCCATACGGCCCATACGCAATTCAGCCTGCAAGCCCTAAACCGTTTAAAAGGCGATATATTTGAAGCTCCACCTGGTGAAGACACTCCAACAGCCGACGCCCGGCGAGCGCTGGTTGTGCCTGCTTTAGAACTCGGGTGGTGGCGGTGATTGCAACGCTTGTGATAGCATTTATTCTTGGTTCGCGCAGTTCGCGTTGTCGTCGCTGCGCTTTTGCTGCTACCGCTGTTGCTGCAGCAGCAGACGTCTGGTGTTGCCATTGCCATGGCCGCTGCGGCTGCTGTTGCTGTTGCAGTTAGTAGCAGTAGCAGTAGCAGTAGCAGTAGCAGTAGTAGTAGCAGTCGTAGTAGTAGTAGTAGTAGTAGTAGTAGCAGCGGCCGTGGTATTCGTAGTAGAAATACGCAGCCTACACTCGGCTGAAGGAAAAGGAATGGCCTGTGGCCGCAGCCCGACTCTTGGCTGCACCTGAGCTGAGCATCTGCTGGAGTCATCTCAGCGGTATGTCCGGACAACCAAATGACCCGAACTCGAAGCTTCCATTCCGCTACCCCGATTCTGCCTGAGCCACCGGAGATCTGTGGGCAGGTTCTCTTCCAGATTTCGAAGAATCGATTGGGCTTGCATGTTGTAGGTCTGAGTTTAGGTTTGGGGTTTGGGGTTTAGGGTTTGGGGCTTGCTTCTTCAGGCCCTAGAAGTTAAGAGATACCCAGGGATCTAAGCCATGTCTCTGAGCGTTTGAATACACAAGGCAGCATCGCTGAATGCCCAGAAGGTGGTTCTTTGCAGATACACTTTCAACATGTGGGGGCTACGTCCAGGCCCTTTGACCCCGCAAGTGATGACCACAACAAAGTAGAACCATCCCTACAACCCGAGCTTACAAAAAGGCTCCATGTGCTTACATTTGCAAAGCCATCTTCCAATCGGTGAAATTCACATCTCAGTCAGCCGCCAACCAGATCCGAAGCCTAAAGGTATCAAGCTGTCTATCGCAGGGGCCTTGTCCCTAACAGGGTGGAGGGGGTATACGAGAGTACATCTCCGCAGAGAGACTGCTATGTGCAGACCCCTAGATTGCAGCAAACAGGATCAGGCTTTGCATGGAGCCTACAGCAAGGAGGTGGTCGATAGAGACACGGATGATGGCATGTCACAAGCAAAGATCTTAATCGTTTCCGCATCAGTACCAACACATGTGAGTTAGTCGATAATATACCACTCCGGAACCCTATTGCAATTTGGTACATACCCGCTACCTTGCCCCCGGAACCCTATTGCAATTTGCTATTGCCCTTCACATACCCGCTACCTTGGCCACAAGCTCCAGGTCGCTAGAATGCCAGAATCGGGTAATGTAGGGGCCTTCATAATTAGAATTGGATTTGGGGGTTCAATATACTATAGTTATAATAAATGCTGAACCCCCAAAATAGTATAGGTAATTGTTAAGGCCCCTATATGACAAATTTCAGCGAACTTCCTAACCCTGTATCTCCTGGTGTCCATAACTCCACCAGTCCCCCAATAGCTTGCCGGAAGACTCTTCTTCGGCGAAGGGGGGCGACTCTCCTGTGAGGTGGCGCCAAAAGTCAGAATTGACAAAGGAAGTCCGGCGGCAGTGTGAAAGCTCCGGGCTTACGACATTTGTACTGCTGCTACGCCTTCTGTTGCTTTTTTTACTGCTGCTTGTACTACAAGTACTACAAGGACAAGAAGTCAATAAGCACGATTCGCAATAACTACGGTGACAAGAATACTGATTTGAATTGCAAGTGCTACCACCACAAACGCTATCACTTCCACTGCCGCCAGGACGACCAGGACCACTACTGTCACCGCTGCCGCTGCTGCTGCTGCTGCTGCTGCTGCTGCTGCTGCTGCTGCTGCTGCTACTGCTGATGATAGTAGTAGTAGTAGTAGTAGTAGTAGTAGTAGTACTACTACTACTACTACTACTACTGCTACTGCTGCTGACCATCTCCAGCAATCGACTACGATTCGTATCATGTCATGTTGCCACTGCTGCCGAATCGCGCCATGAGAACCTATGCTTGGCGGTTTCCCCAAAAAGAGGCTGTCGACCCCAGACCGTGAACTCCAAAGGGCCCCCAAAGGCCAAACTCCAAACCCTATGGGCCCAAAGCGCATGAGTGCTGGCTCCCCAGCTGTTGGAACGCAAAAGCAAGAACTTGGTGCTTCTAAGGGACACCACCCTCGCGACGCAACTTTGGCTGGAGCACTGCATGCTTGAAGGCGAGCATTCCGGCCTTCCGGATCAGTTTCGAATGAATACTTGCTGTTGCCCCCGTTGACACTGATGCTTGTCTTGCATTTATGGTTTTGTGTGGTCCTTTCTCCGTCTCTTTCGCTCTTGTACTTCACTCCTTTTCGTGCTTTCTACCACCGATCGTTCTTGCGTCTTTCGTCCAAGTTCGGTCTCCTACCTTTCACAAGGTCTCTGCGTGCACACTGGAGCACGATAGCCAAAGTCAAACCTCCTGGCCGTGCACTTCCCTGATTGCCATGTATGATCAGTCACCGTCGGTCTTCCATACTATAAAAATGGCTGGTCTTGCGCCATCAAATCACTGCGGGCATCTCACGAATAACCCTCTGTTCTGGCCAAACCCCTGGCTCAAGAGACTCTTGAAACCCACGCAGAGCGAGCACTCAGAAATTAAACGACTTGCAGCTCCACATAGACCTCGTAACATCTGAACTGCTGCAGAACCTGATTGCAACATCGCGGTCCGAAAGATTACATAAACCCTTAGCTGGACATGCTTAAATCGCTGGGAATCTGCCGTTGCTCTCAGCGGCCTGCAGCCACTTGCTGGAGTCCTGGTGCTGGTGGTGTAGCGACATGTAGCAACAGGATTTAGTAGAATGGCCTGCTCTATCTGCGCGCGCACCTATGTTCAAGAGATCACGTGAGGGCTGAGGCTGATGGGCATAGGATTGGACTACTTGACAGTGGAATGTCCGTAGGTTTCAATGGCATGACTATCTTAAGGAAGGATGATGACCTTCTCCAGCAAGTTTGGTCTCTTTAGAGTTACCTTGTTCAACGCTTCAGGCTCTGGGTTCTCCGAAGAGCTCCTGATCCTCAAACCAGTTTGGGGGGGAATGCAGACCCTAACGCCAAGACCCCAACTAATCCCTACTGAACCTCAGCTCAAAACCTAGGCTCAAAATCCGTTCGGGATTGAGGGCCTCTGGGTTTAAGGGTTCATATCACATATCGCGCAAGGACCTCAAGAAGAACCCAAGAGCCTCCCCCCCACGCGAGCTGCAACTCTCACTGCTCAAACGGTCCTCATCTGCTTTGCGCTGCCATTCATCGCGTTCAACCTCCGAACACGGCAGCTAGAGCGCCTTTAAGTGCACAGCCTTGCCTTGTGACCTCAAGGCTGTGCTACCTTAGATGCCGTAGAGCCCTCTGTCCAAGAATAGTAAGACAGACAAACAATAAGAGTCATACAAGCACAAAAAAAAACAATGAACAACAGCTACAGTTCGATCTCGTGGCTTTGGTGCCTTGTACACCTGACGAACTGCGTTTCATGCCGCTGCCAAACTGCATCGTAAACACTGAAACCCCCAAACCAGAACTCCTAAACCCAGTGAAGCCCATTCGGGATAAACGAAGCATCCAAAGGAGCGACCCGTGATGCCGAATCGTTGCAATAATGAAAAAACGGGAAGCATCAAGCAAGTAGCGAAGAGCGTGGTTGACGGCCCTAGGCTCTATTGGCTAGGGTTTAGGGTTCAGGAGAAGTCTATCATGGGGCCGCTGATGGAAATTGAAGTACTCGACGAGCTACCATCCCAGGATTCGTCAACTTGCAACAACCCCATAGCCGGACCTGAAGGAGTCAGGATGGTATCTTGATAGGTTCAATCCTGTAGAAGCGTAACCTCGCTGACTCAAAAAGCAACGCGCCGCGCTCTGCAGTGTTAGGACGAACGTTACACGGCCGGCAAAGGCCTGGACTAGCTTTTAAACCTCAAAAGCCTTGGCCATGCTTCGTTTTGTGAGCTGTCACTTCCGACAGCTGTGACCCTGCATCCCTCAGCCGAAGGCCCCAGCAGCAAGTCTGGGGAGAGTGCATGTCCCAACCTGTAAACCTCTTGCTTTGGTAGGCTTCGGGTGTAAGGCCTCCTTCTTCAGAGTTTCAGAGCACAGAGTCTCAAAGTTACGAACCAAAGCTGGGTTTTTTAGGACAGTTTAAGGTCCATGAATGCTGTAACCACAGGCCGTCAAACCGTGGAGACCTGATGTTCAAGCTCTGCATGCCTCGGACACCTCGCGTGCAACAAAGCCCCGCCGCCGAATCCTAAAGCCAAAACTCGGACAGAAGCCGTCACTCTAATGCCCCAAGCCTCAAACCCTAAACCCAGAGCCCCGAAGCCCTTATCTCCAAAGCCCCAACATCCCCATGTTGTACCACTATTGGCAATCGCCTCCAGGCGAACCAGGCGCCGACGCAGAATCTGACGGGTATCAAGCTGGCAGTCGTAGGGTGCTGACATACAGTCAGCTTTGGTATGCGTGTATGTATGTATGTGTGTGTGTGTGTGGGTGTATATATATATATACGTATATGTCTGTATGTATGTAAGTATGTATGTAAGTACGTATGTATCCATATATGTATGCATGTGCATATGTACACAAGCATATATGTATACATGTATATACGCAGATTTTCGAATCAAAAGGAAGCCGACGAGTCAGACGGGCGGTTCAAGATTTAAGGCTCGATGCTTAGTGATGATTATTCATTACTCTAAGTTCTTGGAGATGACAATGTATATCTTCGGGCGCTGCTGCTCGGATTATCTGTTGCTTGGCTGTCAGGGCGTGTATGTGCCGGCTTGTTTTCATACTCTAGTGCGATATGTACATTTATCTGCATACAGACACACACACACACATATATATATATATATATACACATATATATATATATATTTTTTACATACACACATACTTATATACTTACCTATTGTTAATGGATTATGTACCTATGTAGTCATCCCTTCATTCGTTTGATCACTCGTTCATGCATTCATTCTCTCATTGGTTAGTTTACTGATCTATGTAGCATGTATGTAACATGTGTGTGTGTGTGTGTGTCAACACACGAGTATGCGTGCGTGTATGTATATGTGTGCGCATGGGTGCATACAGATAGATAGACCGATAGATAGATAGGTAGATAGATATATAGATGCAGATGTATAGATAGACAGATGGATATGTAGATTGATGCAGATGTAGACGTAGATATAGATGTGGATATATGCGTATACCTGTATGTGTATATGTATATGTACATGTACATGTGATTCCATGTGCATACATGTGTAGATGAAGATGCAGCGGCTAGCACGTGTATGCACAGACATACATACATACCTACATACATACATACATGCATGCATGAATGCATACATACATGCATACATATATACATATGTGTACCCATATAGATACACATACACATATACGTATGCGACATATGCTAAGCACATACATAAGCATATGCATTTTTGTATATGTCTTTGCAAGCGAACATGTGCATCTAAAATCATGTCATGTGTACATTCATGTGCCACTACATGTACATGTACAGGTGCACCCACACTTACACACTTACATGCATCGTATGATATGCGTATGTGGATGTATAGCGGTTGGTATATATATATATATATATGTGTGTGTGTGTGCGTGTAAGTGATGTGTATATGCGAAGGCAGGCCGGTAGGTAGGTGGGTAGGTAGGTAGGTAGGTAGGTAGGTAAGCAGGTAGGAAGACTAGCAGCAATGAAGGAAGGAACTCCTTGCCTGCAAATTATTCATTTATCTATCGTCAAATGGTGTGTGTTGTTGTCACCACTGTTCTTACTATTGAGCCGATCATAGTAAACCCTAACATACTGTACTATACTACTCAATGCAATGGCATATGGGGCGGTTCCACCATGTACGAGAATAGACTGCGAAGTACGATAATACACTGCAGTTTTTATATGTGTTAGTATCGGCGTGTCCTGGAATATACTGTAACATACTAACTATGATGTGCTAAAACACTACCAAAACTATACATAATATACCTTTTGATGCGCTCCCGCCTTTTGCGTCTCTGCCAGCAGCGGTTCAACTGCTGAGGGGAGCTCCTCAGTCGAGCCGCTTTGGCCTGACACAGTGAATAGTGTTTGGGGTTTAGGGTTGGTTTAGGGTTTAGGGTTTAGGGTTTAGGGTTTGGGGGTTTCGGGGGTATAGGATGTAGTGAATGGCTAAGTAGGGCTCCCGAAAATGCTGCAGGCTCTGGGGTTGATTTGGTGTCCATAATGTTTATTGTGTTGCAGCGGCATGAAGTTATCTTTTTAATGTAGGGGTCTTCGACCGTCTACAGCCAAGCATCGACCATCCAGATTTCAGGATGTAAGTGGCGAGTGACTCAGACTAATCCCTGTAGGAGCCTGAATAATTAGCATAGGGTTTTGGGGCCCATTATACTAGGATTATGGTAAGGAACCCCCAAAATAGTATAGGTAATTATTGAGGCCCCTACATTATTTCAAACCTAGGACTTTAAGTGCCGAAACGGCTTCAGGCTTGGGATTTCAGGCTCTTCGAGAGTCTACGGCCCAGGAAGGTTCTTGGACTGTCTAATATTACTTAAAGGATCATGGGACTTAGTAATTAGGGTAAATAATCAGGTAACTATAGGTATAAGTTAATCATAACTCCCATTAAGGTACTTATAACCTTACTTGCTAAGTTCCATGATCCTCCAAGTAGGGCATGTCAGACTTCAGTTTCATGGTTTCCAGAAGCTTGGGTATTACAATAGTTCAATAGCCCAACTGGCGAAGCTTTCGAGGTCAAAGCGATGGGTGGCTGAGATCTTACAACTCACAAGGCTCTATCTGCCCTGGCCTTCTTGGCGTTTGGAGGTGTTTGGTCCAGGGAGTATGGCTTAAGGTGAAGGATCCTGGTTTGGAGAATCTAAAGACTAGCCACTACAGAGCGGGGCTACAATTGGTAGGGGCAGCGGCTGAGAGTCGGGTTTGGAGGGTCGCGGTCGGTTCCTGTACTTGGCGCCCTTCTGGAATAGTTCTAGGCCCTTCGGATGGAGTCCGGGGGCTGAAACTGGATACGGTTCAGGGGTCAAGGGTCGAGCCTTTAAGGACATAGTCCGAACAGACATGCTGCAGACTATGTCGAGACCCAGAGCGCTAAGGGAAGGAAATAACGAAGCCTATGAAGCCAGCTCGGACACTTCAAGCTGGAAGCCGGATGAAGGAGATACAAGGCATCTACACCTACTTTCCAGAGTAACCTCACTACAAAGCCAGGCTTCAACAAGTTATGCTTACAGGCTGTTTTGTCTCAAAAGGGCGAGCTTTAAAGGGGTAGTGCGGGTTGCTGGAGGCCTTACGGTCGGAGAACCACGGACGGTTCACGCTGGTAAGGTACGGGTGCGGGAAAACCCGTTGGCGCAGAACAGACCCAATGAATATCAAAGTCAACCCAAAACCCTAAACCCGAAGCCACCGCCCCAAATCCGACCACCCTGCGGCCCTAATCCCCCAACCTCAGGACTACTCTTGAATCAAGAAGGGGCCCGCAACCCCTGGCCTGAGACGAGGCGTCCACGAACTGCCTCCTCGGCCTAGCCATCGGGCTCTTGAGTCCAGGGTTTGGGGTATGGCCGGACTTCTGAGAGCAAGAACCTACACGTCTTCAAGAAAGACATGAAGTACGACGCCCTGAATCCCGCTGCAGGGTTCTCATTCAGGTTTGGAAGGTCCTGTTGCGATGTTGCGATGTAGGAGTCTACTTTGCGTTTACTCAGGCTTTTCTGATTTAGGAAATGCTTTCAGTGTTGGGCGTCAGCCGCGTCGTCGCCAATGGGCTCTATTTTTGTACTACTTTCGACCACATCATAATACCGTACAGCCTCTTCGATTATGGCGAACTGTGCACATAATATTACACCTTAGACAGCGCTTGAACACAGTGGCCTACTTTAAATGGGTGCTTCCTGTTTGGGGGATGCAAGGTCACTATCGAAAGGACACCTCAAAGACCTCAAAGACTAGACCCCACACAAGCAGCAATGTCAGAGCTGCCTCTAAACGTCGGGCGGCAGCTGCGAGCTCATCGTAGATCTTGCATGCAGGGACGTCAGCAGTGCCAAAGGCACATCGAGGGCTGCTGGTTCTTGAAGGGAATAGCGCGAGTGTTTTGATTTGGGAGCCGAAGAATCCGAAGAACAAAACCAGACCGTGTAGGGTGTAAGACCATCTCGTAAACAGATCATAGAGAAGCACAGAAATTCATGCAATAGCATTCGAGTTTGCTGACAGAAGCTACCTTCGGTGAAGTTTCATGCTCTGAACAGATTCGAACCGTAGGAACCGGGACAGGACGTCATGCTCTACCTGCACGTCCGGCAAACATACAGACAGGGTCATCAGACATGTATACAACTCTGAAGGATGTCAAACACATAAACACGCAACAAGTACGATGACATGGCAGGACGTTACATGACATGACATGACATGACACCACATGACATGACATGGCACGGGACGGGAGGGTATGGTACGGTATGGTACAGTAGTAGGGTAGGGTATGGTATGACAGGGTAGGAAAGCATAGGATAGGACCGGACAGGACAGGACATGTGCCAGAAATAACATGTGCACATTGTCGATAGGTAGATAGTTACATCAAGTGCTCCAGTTTCCTGACTTATCTCGAAATCTGGCTCCTCAAAAACCCCGACGCCTCCCTGCAGCCGTCGGTGGCCGCCCAGTGGAGGGGTGTCTCCCCCTCGAAAGCCTTGATCCTTGGATCGGCCTGGCGAAAACACTTCCGAGTACCATTCAACCTCTTGTTTTGGTCCCCTTTCGGGGCTGAGTATAGTAGTATATTATACAACCAAGCTTCCATATTGGGCTCTTCAAGGGTCTAGGGTTTCAGGAATTTCGGAAGGGAGGGTTTCAAGTTTGGGGGAAGGGCTTGGGGCTTTTATTAGGGAGTCATGGAGCTTAACTAGGGCTTAGGGCGTCAACAAGGACGCTATAGATAAACAGTTCGGAGTTCCATTTTGGGTTTCCGAGCTTTGAGGTTGAGGGGTTGGGGTTTAAGTTGATACGGTTCATGATACAAATCCTGCATTACCCATAGTAAGGAATATACTATACCATACTTCCCATAGTTTAGGGTCCTTAAGGTAATGCAGGATTTCTATCATCAGCAGTACGGCCGACAGGGAAGACACTCACAGTTGGGTTTAGGGTTTAGGGTGAGCTGGGGCCTTGGGCATTTGGGCTTTGGGGGTTTTGAACTGTTGAGTTGCTTAGGATGTCGGTCTCGTTGTGGTGTGGGCGCAAGGCTGAACCCAACACTCAAACCCCCGCATAGGGGCCCCGATTGGGGTTGGGGGGTAACCCTAATCCCTTAAACCCTAAACCCTAAATTAAGTGGTGACCTGATTCCGCGGGTGTTCAGAGCTTGAGTCATTGGGGGCCCAGGGCTTTTCATCGAGGCACCCTGAGCTGAAAGCCCTCAGCTCAGTATCTCATGGCTTTTGGCCCAATGGCGTCTCAGGGTCTATGAAATGTGAGTGGAAGTTCTGCAAAATGGGGCCCGAAGCCCCGCAATCGAAATCATATGTCTGAACTTGAACCACAACTGTTAAATGTGCAAACCAGACGACAAAAAACAGCCTCTGACAGGAAACAATAGCAACTACAAGTGAAACGCAGGCATGAACCATTTCAAGGAATGCGAGTCGTTCAGGGCATTGCAAAAACCCGACCAGCGAAACCCGGAACCTTAAACGTTAACACTCGAGAAAACCTAAACCCCAAATGCAAAAGCAGGCGCGGGCAAGAAAGGGCCGGTTACCTTACTATAACCAAACCGCACACACAACACTTTTGAAGTGCTCGCTCTCTTTCCTGGTGATCTGGAAAGGGGCTGCAGCATGCAACTGCAGTCCGCACCTGAACAGGCTTTCACTGTTGACACCCCTCCACAGTTGGAGGTTAGCGACCGATACATCGGCCGGCTTACTGAACAACTGAATCCCCTGTTCAGCTTTGCACTCCGCTAGCCCTGCTCACTTAGAGGGTCGCTAGCCTTCAGCTAAGGCTGAGATCCACTCAAACTTTCCAGCTGGCAATCCACTCAGACACGGTGCTCTTGCGTCTGAGCTCGGCATACTTGATCTTGCATTGGGCTCTTCTCGCATGGATGTAGAGGACATACCTGAGCTGCTTGGTCGTTGGCCGGTCCAAGCTTCCATCCATGAAGCAAGGAGCCAAACGATCCACCAGATCCGCCTTGATCCCTGTCACCGGGAGGCCTTCCAGTCTGGTTCCCGTCTGCAGCTCTGCCACTGTCAGCAAGGACAGTGTGTCCTTCACCACTCGAAGTCTTCCTGCGTTTCCAGTCCAGGTTGCAGGGCTTGCCTGGCTCGCCTCGGAGCCACTTCCTCGAAGTCTTCCCACCTCTGAGGTGGGGCTTTCCTGTCCACTGTGCGCCGAAGCGCACTCTACTGAAACTTTCTCCTCGTTCCCGGCGCGGCGTCTCAGCTTGGAGTTGCCGCCACCAGCGTCCACCACTGCCGCTCTGTCCAGCTCCACCGGACTGAGGGCTGCAGTCGAAGAAAACTTGCCGGGAGCCATGGCTTCGAAGGGTAACCCTGTGCTGGGGCCTAGGCCCCTCTCTCCGTCACCCCGGAAAAGCCAAGCCCAGCCCTTCAAACAACCCACGCTTAGATTGTAAAACGTGAAAACCAAACCGACCATGGCAAACAAGTACACCATGAGGACCCCTAGATCCCCCGAGTCATCTTGTGACTCCCGGCTCCCTTCTTGCACAGCATGTGCCACTGACACACAGCAGGCCAACACAGCTGCCGCCATGCCCCTTTCCAAGGGCAGCTGCTTCACTAAGGAGTCTAGCCTGCTTGCTTCCAGAGCCTTCGTGCCGAGGTCGGCTAGATTCATTGACGTGTCCACCTTTCCTATGGACAGCTCCTTGTCACGGACCGACTGCTGGCTGCTGGATCCACATTTGCTTCAGGCTCAGATGCTTCACCTTTCCGCATCCTACCCGCTGGGCCATTGACCGTGCTGCCGAGCTGTCGCTCAGCACTGCGTGCTTGACCTTCCACCCAAAGTGCTCGAGGATGGCGTGTGAGCTTTCCTTCTGCTGCTGTCTTGACCATCGCGTAAAACTCTGCTTCACCTGAGGAGAGGGCTACGAGGGATTGCCGCCCACAGCAGCAATCAATAAGATGCTTTCCAAACCTCTGGTAGGCTGACGACATGGACTTTCGGCTCTTCTTGTCGGTTGCCCAGTCGGAGTCGCTGAAGGACTCAAGGACGCCGGGCGCCCTTTGCAGTTCAAAGTGCCACCTTTCCACAGGATACGTTGCGATGTACCTGCCGACTCTCTTGAGTCGGAGCCAGTGAATCTCAAGCGGCCTGCTCATTCCTTCTGCCAGCTCGCTCGCTGCAAACTGCAGCGACGGTCTGTCGACCGACATGTAAAGAATGATGCCCGCCGCTCGCCGAAACACATCGGCCCGCTCCTTCTCAAGCTCTTGGTCAACATACCTGTTTCCTGCTCCTGTGGCCTTTGAGGAGGGCGTGTCTACGCCCCTGCACCCTTTGAGCTTCAGCTCCTCCACGACCTGCTCCGAGTACTTTGGGTCCGCTTCCCAAGTAAACCCTGAGCCTGTCCACTTGATCACCCTGCCGAGGTGCCGACCTGAGTCAGTTTCCCCTCCATGCTTGGGGTCGCCAATCCTTGGCAAAACCTTCACCTCGTAGTTCTGCTTCATGATCTCGTCCAGCATATCAAGCTCACTGCCGCTTGCGAGGAAGTCATCACCGTGGCACGACAGCGCCACGTCGCCGCCACCTAGGTAGTAGGTGTTCGGGCAAAGCAACAGCTCGCTGTAGCCGTTGGCCTCCTTCATCTTCCTGATCTTTCCGCCCCATTGTCTTGAGGCTTCCCTCGTGCCATTCATGGCCTTGCGCAGCTCCCAGATGGTGTCTGGGGTGCCTTCGGAGGCCGGCGGTATTACTCCGATCTTCTCGCTGTTCTCGGCGTGGAAGAAAGCCACGTTCACATCATACCGCGCCACGAGCTTCTTGCTCACGCTCTGGCCTGGCTTTGCGGTCGCCGCGTGTGATATCACGGCACGGTGCACCCTGGGCGGGGGAGTGCCCATCGACACATCCTCTCTTTTGTAGGTGTTCACCTCCTGAGCCACAAGCCGGCTCCTCACACCAGGCTTTCCGTTGATCTCCTTGGCCGTGTCCACCCATCGGGACTTCACCAGGCGCAGCCCTTTTGCCTTCGCCTCCTGATAGCTGATGTCGCTCTTGACCCCGAAGGTCTCCATCTGCTTCAGTTCTCTCTTCCTTCCTTCACCTGGCTCTCGTCGAGAGTCTCTCCTGTGAATTCGTCGTAGGTGGCTGCCACGATCACCGTGTCTACGGGATCGGCCTCGGGAGTCCCGGGAGGCCACTCATGCAGCGTAGGAAGCCCTGCGATGATCTCACCTTCATCGTCTCCCGACGGTGCGGGCCCTTCGGCGTCTCGCTTCCTGCTCGGGCTCCTTGGGCTTGAAGGGGGTTCTCCTGATCCCCTATCCTAGCCGGCTGCCTTCCGAAGAGGCGCCTTCTCTTTTGCTCTTTGCACCAGCTTGCGTTCCTGAGCTGGGCCCTGGAGCGTCGCGGCGCAGGCCGCTAGCCTGCTCCTCCGCTGCCCTCTTCTGGGGCGCGCTTCCTTCCGAGGAGCCTTGACCGGCATCCATCAATACATCCCCTCCATCTCCGGCCGCCTGGGAGCCGCTCTCCTTCGCCACAAGTTCCGTGAACCTTGCCCGGCATTCCGGGTTGTGTTTGCCCGGCGCGTCCCCGTAGGGAACATCGCAGCCAGGGCAGCCTTCTGTGCGACCATACTTGATCAGCCTCTCTGCGGTGATGTAAACACCCCGCGGTTTCGGAACACTGCCTTCCAGCCTCCCCTGAGGAAGGGGCTTCCCTGGCGCCAAAGGAGTCCTTTCCGGAACCCCGCACGGCTGCCAAGGGGTACCAACCATCTTGTCCAGGTACGCCTTCACAAATCTCTTCTTTTCCACCCGACGGCGGATAGACCGGCATCTCTGGATGCCGTTGGCTGTTGCCACGAAGTGCTCGTCGTTGCTGAGGCTCTTTCCCAGCCATACCCCACAGGACCACCTATCCTCTAGCTTCCGAAGACTCTGGTTCGAGATCTTGTATAAAACAACCTCCCGAACTCAGCAACCTCACCCTTGTAACTCCGACCCCTTAGCCTCTCATAGGCCGTTCGGCCGTCCTGTTTGACACCGTACCGTGTCACCAGCCAGCCCGCGTGGCGGACCATCCAAGGGAAGATCAGGGAGTCCTCCGTGACTTTTACCTCGGGATACCTTGCCTCAAGGGCAATCTTCAGAGTTCGCACTTGGTTGCCTAGCTCAAGGACAGCGCGCTCAGCGGCGCCGTTCGCTTGGGAGTCTCCTCTAGGAGTGGGTTGCGCCGTGGCCTTCTTGGGGTACTTCTTGACCAGGAGGTCTGCTACCGACCTAATAGAACGCTCAGTATCACTCACTACCATCACGTCCGGATGCCCACAGAACTTCAGCCCTTCCAAAGCAAACGCTGTAGAGTACGCGTTCTCCGCTCCCTTGCTATTCGCTACACCCGTGAACACAGCCCCTGACTTCTGGTCCCTACAAACCAACACCGTCTTAGAGTCAGGCCGGGCCTCCTTGAGGTCGCCGATGGTCGCCACCGCGTTGTCCTTGTCGAGGGCCTTCGTGAAAAAGCAGTAGTCGATACAGTACCTAGCCGTATCCTCCTTCTTCTCTTCTTCACGGCGCCTGTGAAAGTCCTCGGTTCCCTTGCCTTTCACACAAGCTTCACACCAGCTACGAAAGGGTAGGTGGGTTAACTCGTGCTCGGCCCTAAGCTCAGCGCTTATGCTTGGGGGAACCTTCTTAGCCTTGGCTTTCCTACCCGCTTCCCCTTCAGGCTCTAGGTCCTCTTGCAGGGGAGCGTCGCCCATGGTTTCCGCATCCGCTTCGCCCGCCGGGGGCTCAACCGGGGAGCTGGCCTCAGCATCCGCCGGCTCCGGGGAGCTTGCTACCGGTCTGGCTGCTCTCGGGGGGGGCTTCTTTCTACATCTAGCCAGTACACACCCTTGTCCTTGACCAAAGGGATCCGTGGAAGTTCCACGAGGCGCTCCTTCAGGCGCTCACCTGCCTGCTTTGTCAGCAAACACTGCGTTCCTGGCCCAACAACCAACCAAGTTCCCTGCTTGCTAGCCTCCGACACAAACTTCACATCACTCTCCCTGTAGCTAAAGTTCACCTGCGTGCTGCCATGCTGAAGTAACGAGGTCTTGCGGCTTCCAAGGTCCAGGGCCTCCCCAGTGATTGTTCTCATGTTGATGGTCTCTCCTAGGGCTTCTTTGGCTTGGGGGTCAAAACCTCTAGGGGCTATACCTCCACCTGCGCCTGTGTCCACCAACAACCTCTCCGAAGAACCCTGAAACCCACACACCGGCATTGCAACACACAACGTGGAAGCTGCTACCGACTCACCCTCTGGCTCGCTACTCTCTGGCACTGCCGCTGCGGTCCTTCCTTTTCCGTTCTCTGCCTTCTTCAGGTCTGCGAGCCTCTTTCGGCATTCCTGCTTGGTATGCCCAGGCTTGTTGCAGTAGAAACACAGGCGCTG